GAAGGAGTCGTATGATTGCATGTTTCTTACTGAACGTGTGCTTGTCTAGGCGTCCAGATGTCTGTCATGTGAACGTACTTTTGACCACTGACTATCGACCCAGACTATTGCTTTTTACGCAGGCATCTGTATAGAAACGCTCCTATTATGGGCCTATTACGAACAGTCTGCAAAGGTGGTAAGGGATCTTTCTTACAAACGCTTGTTCTCATAGCGGTGGATACAGTTCGGGTACCTGCGTCGGGTAGTATAAACAGTGAACACAGTGAGTAGATGGCATTTTTCGCTTACCTTGAAAGTTAGAAGCCTGTTTAATATAAAGTTTGTGTGGCAGAGTGTGCCGCTTAAATCATTTTTAAAACTTGTACATCTTCTCATCATTTCAAGCCTGCTTAACCCAGTACTCGGCAGGCAGGCTCGTAATGTTGAGAAGGTGAGTTTTCTGGGTTTTCTGTTTTTGATAGAGTAATGCGTTCATTACTTTTTGCACGCTTTTATGTTCGCTTCACAGTTTCTCGAGGACATCCTTTTAATCATGGACGAGTGCGAATACTCGGTTTTGCTCTGAACGACAAAGGTTCGGTTTTTGGCTGAAGTGGCTCCCAGGGTTCCCAGTGGGTGCATTCCTAGTACCTCACGTTCTGCATCAGCATGCATAGGTGCTTCAGGTCGCACATATCTGTATTAGAGTGCAGGTTTATGAATGTGCAACCGATGGAAGAAGTATTGTGTAGAGTTATTATGTAGAGTTAGCAGACATTGAAGCATTGTGCCAAATGTGTTGAGTTTGAACTAGACCTTAAAGGCACGTCCACGATAAAAATAGTTTTCTGACCTGACAGCGCCATATACGGTATGCAGGTAGGCCACAAATTTATGCCCTTGGATAAGTTTGTGGCACACCCGTATACCATGTGTGGCACTGTCACGTCGGAAAACGGCCCAGCTAATGCGTTGTAAAGGCTCAAAAATTCTCTCGTGTGTATGCTCGCACGAGTTTTACCGGCATTGTAGAGGCTGCACCGATCACAAGGGATCCCGTGTAGGAAGTTCAAACAACTTAACATGACCCATAGCAGCAGTGAAAGACAATTCTGTACAGTTCGGTCTTGATTCACTCAGCTCTTTGCGCAATAACAACAACTGAAATCTCATCCGAATAACCCTTCCATGTTATTCCTGTCATGGTAGTCTCGGCAACCTCTATTTTTCCTGCTTCAAGGAGCCTTATCTTTCCCAATTCGGCTAATTTTTTGTCCTTCACCACCGACGAACTATTCTCAACTCGCTTCCGCTTTTCGAGGGTAGCTCACAATTATCGTGAACTTTGCCTTCAGCTAGAATCCTTCTGGCTTTTTCCGTATTGATAAAAATTTTTGGAACTATTTCTTCAAGTTCCGTAGTATCGGAGAGAAGGGGGTGTTTGCTTGAAAGCGTTGATCAACTGAATACCATTTTACATCTCTATCAAATAGTATTTCCGCGCGTTCAAGGGAACGTGCTTGTTCTGGGCTTCGATAATTTGCTGTTCTGCAGCATTTATTGGCCATGCAAATGTGCTGAACTCAATTGGCACTTCCTTTTGCTTTTTTTCGATTAGGAAATGTCAATTTTGGTGCGTACAAGGGCCAAACGGCTGTCACAAAGGGTTGCCACACTCTGCAAAACATTTTCATAGCCTTTATGAAGCATTTTTCTGCTACAAATTGCTGGGTATAGGCAATGCAATATTAGTCTGCCGTGCGTGGGTTGGGGTACCAGGCAGAGTACCGATTCAAAAGTGCCAGAAACGCTCGATTTCAAGGTGTGGTCTGGTAAAGGTAAGAGGTAATAAGTCTGATGAGATATGAATTTTTTTCATGAAGCATTGCTGTTGAAGTAGCAAGCTTAACCCATTGACGACCGCGCATTTTATATTGTCCTTACATTAACTTTCATTTCTCTCATATATGTAGTTGGAAATGAATGATTCCTGGACCGCAATGCGTCAAGATTCTCCAGAAGGCTGTAAGCTCAGCTGATGCTTGAGAACATGAAAAAATCAAAAGAACACTCAATAAATAATGTAAATACTACAAAAGCACGATATGGTGTGGCCCGCCGGCGGGCCGCGCGGTCGTCAATGGGTTAAGATTCTGTATTCATTGGCAAAGAAGTTCCTATGTCAATAGAGAGAAGAAGCACAGTCGTGGTAAGGGAGGGAGACAAAGTGATACAACTAGAGATATTAGAATTCGCCAGATGAGTAGAAATTCGTGCGGAGGATAAAAGGAATAAAAGGAGAGAATGAAACTGGGTAATAGTTTCAAGTAGGAGGCTAAAACGTAATAGAGCAGAGCTTATAGCGAAAATGAGTCCTGTTGTGTCGTCTCGTGTTTTTCGTAGCCAGAGGGTTCTAATTTATGACATTTTTGTTTGTCATCAAAGGCAGAGTAGATGAATGTTTATTATTCCCTTGAGGACACTTTTATAGAAGAATAATCCATGGTTTGCTAATTTTTCCATTCTTCATTCCATCATTCTCATATATTCCTCTCTTGCCATCGATCCTACTCCCGAAGCCGGCTATCTCCTTCTAATGGTGATCATTCTTGGAAATGTTAGAGGCTTCAACTTCATGCGTCTGCAGTCCATTCTTCATTCCATCATTCTCATGTGTTCTTCTCTTGCCATCGATCCTACTCCCGAAGCCGGCTATCTCCTTCTAATGGTGATCATTCTTGGAAATGTTAGAGGCTTCAACTTCATGCGTCTGCAGCCATGCTCTAAACCTTTTTCATGCATCCTTTACCAAAGTTTTACGCCCATATCATGGCGGTCAACATGGGTGGATAATATCTTACTTATTCAAGCTGCGCGAGGGATCGACGATTTCATTTTTAACTACCAAAGTTTTACGCCCATATCATGGCGGTCAACATGGGTGGATAATATCTTACTTATTCAAGCTGCGCGAGGGATCGACGATTTCATTTTTAACTGGAAAAGTATCATGTGATCATCGTGGGACGTGCACGCGGATTACTTTATACAGTGGCGCCATGTGAGGTAGTGCTCGCCTTGACAGTGAGCTCTGTGTCTGCTGAGTTGCTGTTTTTTCATTCTTGCTGGTCGAATACCCACAATGGAAGGAAGGAGACTTCGGTAATTCCGGGATTACCCCAATTAGGAGGTAGGCCCCTAGTTCCTCTCCCTCCAACGCTGTATTTCCGGGGTTTGCCTATCTTCAGAATTAGTCCTATTTAGTACTAGGGACGTCTACGACTACGTGGACTGTTATTTGATTGAAGTAAATTTGAGAGCTCTTTGGATATTGCTTGCAAAATTCATTTTTCTTGTAAAAAATGAAGCACATAGGCTTCTTTGAGGCTTGGGCGTGGATTCATATTTTTAATTTTGTTTGTATTATTTGCTCTGGAGCCGTATTCATTCATTTAGTCTGTCTCAATTATCCTTGCTTTGTATAATTCGAACAATTTCCTATCATCATCGAAATTTTCCTTCCATTCTAATTCATAAAATTCTCACAATCCGGTATCGTAACCTTTATTCTTTTATTCAGTGTAATCATGAAACTCTCTTTGTTGGACCATATACATATCTATAGGAACCTTCATTGTGCACGACGGCCTTTTAGCATTCCTTTGGGCTTCTAATTATGGGAATCAGCTACGATTAGTGCTGGAAAATATATAAGGGTATAGAAATTAGTACCTTCCGTTTCTTACGCCATTCCCTCTCTCTCTCTTCTACTTAATATTGTTTTCATGGGGTAGCTGTCACCCATTAGCCGACCTCTACCCATCAGCTGTTACACACCTGCAAAGAGCAGCAGTAATCGCTGTCTGTCACTTTGAACTCTACAGAGTATTATCGTTCAGTGGTAAATCATATTATGTCTTTTGATGCACTCGAAGGTTATTTCGTGTCTCTCTCTATTTTTCCATTGAATTCATGTGCCCTGAGAAGCATAGCGGTGAATACATCAATATAATGCCGTTGTGCACAGATCTGTTTGTCCACAAGTCTACAATTGATAAGATTCTCGCGACAGCTGAGGGAGGAAGGTGACCGGGTGAGTTCAGCCACTTACTATGGTGTGTACATTGGCATATGCGCTTTATGGTGACGGTTTCAAATATGCTTTCAAAACCAAATCTGTGAGGGGTTGCTACAAAGTTGCCTTAAAGATTTCCGTCACTTCTTTTCTTATTCCTTCGAAAGTAAATCGAGTAAGCGGATGAAGCCTAACGATTTGTGGCGCATTTTTTGGATGTGTACTAAACTGACTTTTCGAATTGAGATTACGGGTTTGAATCCTTGATGAGTGTGGCTCTTTTCGTTCCTCTAAAACTTCGCTTTTAGGTCTGGAACACTTTAGTTATTTTGCCGACAGGCTTCCTTGTTTGTCGTCTAGAAGGGACAAATTTCTAAACATCTTTTTCCTTTTGTAGCTCACCATACGAATGCGCAGCCTACAACCAAAAAGTGTAGCCTTCATCGGAACTTATTTGTCAAAACCTTTTTTTGTCTAAATTTGGTGAGCCTTTCCATTACCGATGAGGTCGAAATATCTCTCTCATACTATTTTTGATCAGAGTTAATGGGCACTGCTGTTCTACCCTGTGGGTAGAACTCTTCTTTTTAGTGCCCTCCTGCAAAACAAGAGAATATGGAAAGGTTTCGTATCAAAAATCTTCAATCTTGGTCTGGGAAACTGCTATTTTTGAAAGAGGATTTGAAATCGGCGTCTCAAGGCATGTATGTCGATCCACACTGCATTGTAGATGGCTGCACGAACCTATTGTTCATCCTTTGTTAAACCGCTCGTGCGTCACCATTGACTCGATTTCCACTGAATGTTACGGAAAATTTGAAGTGATCTACTTGTTTAGCGGAATTATTGATCCTACTAGTTGTGTTGCGATTTTTCGTTACAGGACACGTCATAGTGAATATATGTATGTGTGAAATTTTATGACATGTGGATGATCTTTCAGATGTGGCGGTGGGAGGGCCCTCAACGAGTGGTCCTGTTGGCATGTGGTTCATTCAATCCACCAACGCTTATGCATATGAGAATGATGGAAGTGGCTCGGGATTATTTGGAAAAGCAGTTCAATTGCACGGTTCTCGAGGGATTACTCAGTCCCGTCGCGGACTCCTTCAACAAGCCGAATCTTGCCTCTGCACACCACCGTCTAGCCATGGTCGAGGCGGCTACGTCGCATTCGGGATGGCTTCGAGCTGATGGTTGGGAATGTCGACAGAAATCATGGACAAGGACGCTTTCTGTGTTGCAACATCATCACCAAGAAGCTCAGAATCGACTGCAAGGAGACGTCCGCCTCGCGCTGGTCCTCGGCGGCGATGTGGTTGAGTCGTTCACGCGCATTCTGCCCAATGGAGAGAACCTATGGAATCCGAACGATGTCCGTGACATTATCACAAAATTTGGCCTGATCGTGATCAGACGTGAAGGTGCCGATCCTGCAGGAACGTTGCGGTCTATGTCTTGTTTGCGAGACATTATAGATCAAGTACTGATTCTTGCTGACGATGTTTGCCCTTGCAGTATCAGTTCAACGAATGTTCGAGCTGCAGTGGCGGCTAAGAGATCGATAATGTTTACAACTCCGTTTGCTGTTGTTGAGTACATACGGAAAGTAGGTCTTTATTCGAGTAGTAACCATTGTAATCAAACATCAAAGTGATAATGCCGTTGTAATTGGTGTGCATCGTGAATAGATCCAGCATACAAGAAGCCTGCGCTCTCTGAAACGACTTTTCCTCTGATTGTCAGGTATCAGTGAAATCATTCCATTGACCTTTGTTCAGGTTTAAGATTACCAAGAATAGCTACGAATTGGAGAATTAATTTTTTGGGGTCAGGACTGCCTTTTCTAATGTGATTTCTGAATTTCCGAATTATGACTTGTCTTTCGGCCTTATCACCTGCTTCTCAAGGCACAGTTCACGATGATTTCGGGTTATCCACTTTTAGACAAATAATGGATATCATAGTCCAAACATTGCAAATTTGTGAGGAAAACTCGAAAATCGGGTATCTAGAGAAAAATAAGGCTTCAGATAAGAAATAAAATTGGGGTTGGACGAAAATGTTACGAAAAAAGCTGCATGGAGGGGGTGCTGATTTGGACGAGCTGTTCGAACATGCAAGTGATTGCATACAGCTGGCTGCCATTCGCTGCCTGCTTGCAAGGTTTGGGTCCCGGTGCGAATGGTGCAACCTCTACAACCTCTACATTGTTGTGTAAACACGTCCACCTTTGGGTGTGTTCGTCGGCTAAGCCTGTTTCGGGGGAATTGATTACGTCCCCCTCTCTTGACTGCTTTTCGACCCGGCCGCGTCCCTATCTATAGCTATCCTTGGGAGGTTCACAGCTTTGCTTAGCGAGAAATCTCAGAAGCCATTTTAACGTGAATTGTGCCTTTGAATTGGCTTTTGCTCTGGATTTTTTGTTTTCCGTGATACTTTATCTCATCTGATTTGCCTCAACCAATTCAGGGATTTTATTAACAACAGGGTATGTAGTTTGATGTTTAAAATGCAAGTGAAAATAGCTGGATAGCAAAGAAATGCCCTCCTTTCGAGTTCGAGGTCTTTCTGCTCAATCCTTCAAGTATGTTTTTGCTTGCCCTTGAAGCCGACCGTGTCCCTCCCCTCATCGGCGGCATCTTTCTTTCTGGTGCTTATGCTGGTGCACAGTCTAGCGTTTTTCGCTCTTTTAGAGGTTCTTCACGTCATTTAGAGATTTTGAGCATCTCATCGTCTATAAATCGCTAAGATTTAACCATTGCACGATCTCTCTTACGCTTATTGCTCAACTTGTATGCTGTGATCTTGTTTGTGAGTTATCAATGCGATATTTACCTTCGTAATTTATTCAGTGATATGCAGTGATATCGAATAATTTTTTACTTTAGAAATGCACATTTTGGCATTATATTATAGTATTTTGTGTTGTTTGTGAAATTTTTACTGTTTAGTGTCAATGTAGTGAATGAATATTATTATTTTCGTGTGATTGCTTGGATCATTTCAACGTGTGGACGTTTCACGGTATATTTTGATGTTTTGCCAAGAAGTTTATGTTTCTGAACCAGATGTATGTAGAAGACAAGGAGCAATAGGGAGCTATATATCTCTAACACCATAACTCCCATACTCCCATCGGACCTTCACAATGCTCAAAATCAATACCATGAATGATGCAGCCTGGATTTTCGTTTTTTCCTCAATCTCTTCTAAATTTGAGAACATTTTGTTTTGTTTCTTTTTGCCCCTTACACAGAATCAGAAAATGGCGTGTTAAGGTAACAATGGAGGAAGTTCATGGGAATGGCACCGATCATTTGGTTCCCATGACACTATCTGTTGAACTTGCCCCTCAAGCAATCGAAACACCACGAGGCAAAGAATTCTCTAAAGGTTAGTTGTGATTACAATTTAGTTTTCTGGTTGATATTTACATTTGGCTTGATTCTTTGATCTTGTTTACTGTTTGTTTATTAGTCATTGACTTTCAAGTTACTTATTTCTTGTGGCTATACCATTTTTTTTATCGTGGAAAAGCCCGTTAAGCAATTGGGTCCATGATATGATTTATACATGATTAATAGGGTTCCTTCAGGTAAGATATGCGAAAGGTTCCACAAAAGTTTCCGATTAATCGTTTCATTGTTTTGCAATTCAAGGTTGTAATTTGTAGGAAATAAAGTAAACGGACGCAGTAGTGAAAAATCTTTTTGTTTGAAGAGCGCTTTTCGTTTGAAGAATCCCATCTGTCGTAGTGAACTTTGGACTTTGGTGGTACCTATGTACCCGGGTACCGATTTGCTAATGAATTTGTAAATGAATTGGGTTTTTACTTTGTATCGTAGCTTTCTAATAATCGGCATACTAGTCAAGTTAAATTCCGTTGTCCTGAATAGGGAACATTAGCAAAACGCATTTTATTTATTTATTTATTTATTTGAATGACGCACATTATATACTCAGTTGCAGCACACACACATACACACATATGCAGACAAAATGAAAGAACAGCGGTACCGAGATGGGGGGATAGACATGGGCACAAGCTAGGGGACCGCAACGATGAGTGCAGTCCGGGATTACTCGGTTTTTCCGTAAATGATTAGAAATTCCCGTGACACTATCTGTTGAACTTGCCCCTCAAGCAATCGAAACACCACGAGGCATTAGGCATTTGGACTTAAATCAGTTCGATATTAGCACTGCGATGCTCTGGTAAAGGGTTGTTTGAAATGTGATGTAGCTTACCCTTATTTTCTCGGTAATGGTAGTTTTAAGCCTCAAGTGCGTTGGGTAAACATTAGCAGTGTAATATGTGTTCCAACGCATTTCAGCGGCACCTCGCCGGCTTCTTGCGTTTTCGTTTCGTCTCCTTTTGCTCCAAAGCGACCCACTTTATTTTTCTCTAATTTAAGTATTGCTTCCAAAAATTATGCGGTTCCTCCAGCAAATTTCAATTATCGATCTATTTTTGGGTTTTCTTGCTGATTCCATGCTAAGTTTAATTCCATTTATCTTCCAACGTACTGATCTCTTTCATGCCTCTTTGTAATACCCCATCTCTCTTCCAACGGCTGTTTTATGACGGGTGAAATTCGATCTTGAGTGATTTTATTTCAAAGTACAACCGTAATTCCGCTATTTCTGTCTACTTTCGTCAAACATCGTTGCCAACTGCTGCCCACGTGAGATCTTGCGATACGTCTTGTACACTTCGTTATTGCTTCAAGATGTACAACCACGCTCGGTCGTTGTTTTTCAATGGTACTCGTGTATTGTCTATCACATTTTTTGAAAAGCTCTTGGATAATGTAGTTGGGCGCTTTCAAGCCTAGCGCACGGGTTTTGCGATGTTGTTGTAATTTCAATTTGAAATTTTCAAGCTGTTTTGAGTCAATTCGATTGATTCTTGAGTAGGTTCGAAAATATTAATGCCTATGCTTGGCTTAGGCTAGATGTGAAAAGTGCGAGTGGTTGGGCCACACTTTGACAAAGTTCTACTTATGGGCTCCTCTCAGCACAGCTACTTTGCTAAGCCTCAAGAAATACGTTGCCAATCTTCAAGGTTTTCTGAGCGTTTATGAATTCTCGGAGGGCTGATTATTCTCAGGTCTTCACATCCCCAACAGAGGCTTGCGGATTCCAACGAAAGATTGTGTTGTTGGACCTCAGATTCCATTTAATGCAGTTGAAAAACCGCAAATGTAGCAGGGTGAAGCAAGATGGTAGAATCCTTTCATTCCCTTCACCCTCATCACCCTCAGAACGGAGCCCTCTTCGATTTCTCGGTTCCGTCAGCCAAGTGAGGTCGACTTCTTTCTCGGTATGTCTTGTAAGTTTTCGCTCTGTTCATCTTTTCCGTACCACTCCACCTCTCCTTTGATTACACGACATCACATATGTTTCTAGGTTGTGTTGTCCAATGTACCGCCGAGTGTCAAGCATTTCAGATTGATTAGCTCGTTATGCCAGCTCAGTTGTACATGTGTTCCAATTGCCATCGAGAAACATCTGGATGCCTTGTAGTTTGGGAATAGTTTTGAGAGCCTTTTCTATGTTTTGTTATCGGAGTTCCAGGGAGCGGTGATCCGTTAACAGAATCATATGCAAACTTACCAAAAGATTTGGTATTCGGAAATACTACTACCATGTATTTTCATTCGGCGGGTTTAAGATAAGATCAAGAACGATTTCGGGTTCACCCTTTATAAAAAAAAGCTGTTTAATGGCGAGTTTCAAAGCTTGATAGTGAAATAGACGTTTATGAGTGACTCCAGGTTCCCTTCCCATTTCCCTTCGGGCGGAACTTGAAAAAAAAATCGTCTGCTAAAAGAATAGGGTTTTTCGATGTCACAAAAGGTCAATATTTTCAATGTGAAAATAAAAAAGTATTTTAAATTTTCAGCTAAGAGGGGCAGTGCTATTTGTTTTTCTCGCGCAGTCACGGAGAATTTGTGAATGTTTTTGTGGGATCCAGCAAAATTGCATTGTGTTTGCGAGTTGGTCTGAAGAGTCGAGAACATCTGTAGTTTGCTGTAACCAGCTTCAATCTAACTGAGTAAGTTGTTGCAGACTTTTCGGGATCGAGGTAGATTCTGATAGATCTTAGGAATGCATTTCGGATAGAAATTTATTCTTACGGATTCAGGGTAAATCCCCCTCCGAATTGTTGTACTCATAGAAGTAGTACTGACATATTTTTCCATGTGTTAGTTTCTGCTGGGAAATCGATCAGCTGAGGTCTTCAGGTTCTGCTCGGATCTTGGACTAGAGGCCACACTCATGGGTTTATGAATGAATTAGGTTTTACTTCTGAAACGACAACGACTTCACAGATTTATCAAGAAGTTCTTTTTCACTTCCCACTCTCTTCGTTTTCTTGCAAAAGAATTGCTTACAGGCCTAATGAATGACTGATACAGGGTTTACTATTCCAAGAAATTGGCTGTTGTCCCAGCGGCGCTGGTTCTGATGGTATCGGTATTAAGAATTTCCTGAAGTCTCAGAGCTCCTGAAGCCTTAGCATTGCGTTGGTCTTTTTGAACCTCTAGAAATTTAGATCGATTTAATTGGAAAGTTCCGTTGAACGAATACTGTCGTTGAGGACCATTAACAAGATAAGGACAAAGGCAGAAGGGAGGGTTTAGATGTGTT